TCGCTCCCTCGGTCTGCCTTCCCCGCGATCAACACGAGTCGACGCAGCACAAAAGGAAACCGCTCCTGTGATTCCTCCACCCACCTCCCCATCGTCGCCCACCCGCAGCTCGCCGCGACGCAGCCCATGCCCGCCTGGAGCTGGCCGTGACGCCGGTCGCGCCCACCCTCCTTACGAGTCCAAAGCTTCCCACGACGGCATGGCCCCACGGCCGGATCCAGATCGGAGGTACTCCCCACTTTCCCCGCTTCTTCTTTGCATCACAAGCGACCCCGGACCCCTCACCGGATTGGATCTCGTGCTTCGTCGGTGCCGGTGCCAGAGCCGGAGATGATGTCATCATCGTCGGATGCGGCTGCGGCGCTGGAGCTACAGGTGTCCGAGTTGAGGAGCTGCGGCGTGAGGCGCGCAAGTTGGAGGGCCACCTCGACGTGAAGCTCTCCTCCTACGCATGCCTCGCCCACGATGAGCTGGACGCCCTGGGTGTCGGGTTTCGCCACCTGGTCACGCGCACCGGCGTCGTCGCCATGCTTGGCACCGGCCGCTCGCCCATTGTCGCGCTCCGGGCCGACATGGACGCGCTGGCCATCCAGGTACGTGCCTGCGTGGTGCGTGTGCCGGCATGTACGTGTTGTTCGTGCTACTCATCATTGAACTAATCTTTTTGATTTCTCTCTTCATTGGATTCAAATCCGTTTCCAAAATTTGAGGCATGCTAACAAAAGATTATTACTACATAGTACCAGAAATTATTCCAAGCGTGGCAAATTATTAATTTCCTGATGATTCATCTGCGGAGGTGCTTGTTTAATTTTGTCGATTTGTTTTCTTGTCCGTGATAGGATTTTTACTTCAAACATGGTGGCCCTATCTTTTAATCTGTGTGCTTATAAGCCAAGAATGGAATGCCACCGCCCATTGCAGTAGTTGTTTGCATTGTTTCTTGTGTAGGATGAGCAGGGAGATTAGGTTTAGTGTATCTATCCTTGGGAACTGCCATGGAGTTGGGTTTTTGACAAATTTATTAATCTGCGAGATATGGAATTGCATGCCCTTTTAATTCTTCCCATTCTGTTTATTTCCAGGGGCCCAATTGAGCCTATAGTGCACTTGTATTGTATTTTTGGCACCTCTGTGACATGAGCATGGCCTACTGCACCTGTATTATCTTTTCGGCACAAAAAAGAAAGAAAAACATGACGCATTATGGTGAACGTGAGATGTGATCTCTATTTGCTATTTTGGAGGCCAAGATATCATACCATGCACTTGCATTTTCCATGTCTTATTCTGTGGTCAGTATCGTGGTTACTGTAATTTTGACCAGGGATCTATTTCTCATCTTATTTCAGCGAGCAGTACTCTAGTGAGTTATCAAAGCCATTGGCATATTGTGCTCATGCTCTTCATGCAAAGGCTGAAAAGTGAGTTTTCTCCTCTTCTCCAAAATCACCGCCTATTTATCTGAGCTTTGAGGATTGAACCAATGGAACATGAGTTGCAGGTTGTTTCACCTTACTACTATGAGGTACATGCTGGGAGTACCAAAAAGCACCCATCCGACTACTTTTTGCTAGAAAATGGAAATAGTCTGCATGATGTATTGAGGTCATGGACAAATGCTACATTAGACATGTTGCGGTCTTCAATACGGAAGGCACAAAATGCTACATTAGACATGTTGCGGTCTGCAATACGGAAGGCAAAAGGCCCAGCACCTCAAAAGAGAACATTCAGATGCAAAGCCTGCAAAAGTTTGTTATTTCTCCCCTCATCCATACCTTGCTCAGCTTGCTTAATTGCTTTATCTTGCACACTCCGCAGTGGGAAATTTGCTTTGTTTTGTGATTCGTGTCTTGAGTCCATGGGGGCTAAGAATAATAGCAGGTAACCTTTTGTAACAGATATGTCCATTACATTTTTATCAAATTGAAATATTTTTGGTTGTTTGATTTGTATTACCAGATATCGCCGTAGTGTTAGCATGGGCGATATACTATACATTTTCCAGTTTTCCTGACCATGTGGCCGCATAGAGTGTTCCATTTTTTAAATTTATTATTTGGTATGTTCTTGCAGAAACGGACTTTATTTGTACAGTTCCATAAATCCATTCACATGTCAGATGATAGTAGAACAATTTTGTAGCACCATTTTTCATGTCTATCATCACTGCACTTTTCAACTGAGCACCTAGACTTGACACAACTTTGATGACAAGTATTTGTAGGATGAAATCCTTATATATATATATATATATATATATATATATATGGTAAGGCTATTCTGTAGCTGGCCATAGAATAACTTATTCTATAGCCATCTTGATTTACGATAATGTTTGTACCAATTTACGACAATATAAATATGCATTTACCATACTCGTGTTACTACAACTCACGGTGATATTTACCATAATGTTATAGTAAATCACTTAGTAAGGAGTTACTGTAGTATCATAAATTAGCATAGTAACTATCGTAACTCAAAGTGACCACAGAATAAGTTATTCTATGACCAGCTACAGAATAGTAGTTATATATATATGCTATCTATAGAGCTTGAGACTTGGAGAGCTTGAATGGAATCCAGAGTTCAATTTGATGCAGTTGTCAGTGGAGGATTTTAAGAATAAAATTCAAGTAAACTCTGTTGCTCCTGACTGCTGCCATTAGCATTTCCCCCTTCTGCTTCCCAGTTGTGATGCCTTCTGATTTCTCTCTTTTTCTATTGGATTGAAGAGGGATGCAATAAAGCAAACATATGAAAGGTCGGTCAAAGCTGCTCAAGATTACGGGATCATGAAAGAGAGCCCAGAGTTTGTTTTCTTGTGCTTTGAAAAAAAATGATGCTTTCACCTGGTTTTAGTCGAGAAGCTGATCCCTCTATCTCTCCATGCAGGTCTTTGGTCTGAACATTTGTGCTTTTCTTAATATACGCGTGCCTCTGTCGGCCCACCCTGTTCGATGGCGGCACGATGGTATTTTGTTTTTAGAAATTTCCAACAACCAGAATGCTTTAGATGATAATTTAGAAAAATAAGAAGTTGGATCAGTTAAACCTGTTTGTCTTTCGATGTTTGATGCCTTCAATAATATTTGTTCTAGGAGTATCTTTTTCTCTGCGATGGTCTAACTAAAACCAGTTATTTGAGTAGAAATTTTGGATCAAAAAGAACAAGGGAGGTTTACATATTCTCTACCTGGGTTGACCGGATAATGCATTCCATATTTAGCTATCAGTTTTTCTTATAACATGTTTTGTACATAAGCCAGAGGCTCATCTTTAGCGGATAACACTGGTAATTGTCTAATATAAAGATGACAATTTCATTTGGCACTAATGCTTCATATCAGTATATGAGGATGAAAGGAGATTTTGGACGAAAGTGTCTGTGGACTATTGTCCTTATAGTACTAGGGTAACAGGTTCAATTGTTTGTTGTTATATCTTACATGAGTATTTTTTTGGAATTATTGCTCAAGATATGGAAGTGTCAGTTTTCTGCTTGTTCTATACACCCTTGTAGTTATTAACTTGCACTGGTAGGATTGTGCTTCTTCCCCTGTAACTCAGAACAAGGCGAGAAAGTGTTGATATCATTTCTTCTTCTTGCTCGACACATTCAGGTACCGGAGGTTGCGCAACAGGTCATTGGAGTTCAGGAACACCTTTGTTTGGCTGTGGCTGAAATCGTGTGAGAGATCTCCTTACACCTTCAATCTGCTTCAGGGCAAGGAAGCCAGGGTTGTTTGCTATGGGCTTCACCAATCAGCTCGACACTCTTAGGCTCTCCCTGTTCATAACAATCTTTCTAGGACACTAGATGATTCCCCGTGGTCTTGTAATCACACAATTAGCAATGTACTCAATTCTAAGTCCCCCAGGTTAATTATGATTTAGCAGTTTTGCAGCGCTTTGGTTGCTGCTGTCTATTGGTCCTTATATTCTAAGCCTCCTAGCAAGGAAATTAAAGCCAGAACAACATCTTGGGTGGGGAACACATGATCTGTTTTTCCTTGGAAAGTGTTTTGAGATACTGTACGCTTTCATAATCAAAGATGTATGCATATCTGAGTTAAAAGATGTATGCATATCTGGCGGCTAAAAACTGGACTTTTGGCCAAACCAACAAAGAATCTGTACTGGAATCCTCGTTAGTACTTGTTTATAGATGTTTGAATTGCTTTGATTCTATTTTGGTTTGGCTGTGGGATTTATTTTATTAGAGTTTTATCTCTCGACCATATATGATATGGATACTTCTTTTTATCCCCTTCAAATGCACAGTTCCACTAAAAGAATGCATTGGTACTCTATTTCTTCAGTAATAGTCAGCTAATGTTTGATTTTCAGTAAAAATTGACATAATCTGCTCATGTTTGATTCCTTGCCGGTTGTTATTATTTTTAATTCCTTAATCACCCGTGCCCCTTCATCTCTTGTGTCTTCGTTTGGTTGTTTTCATAAGCATATCTGAAATGCCACTGTGGCGTTAGCACGAACACTATATGCTTTTATTACCGATGCATATATTTTCTTTTGAATGTTTGATTTCTACTGTCGAAGGTCGCCATTGCATTAGCACGGGTATTTAATTTCACAGTATTGTTATTTTATCGTGCGATCCATGTGTTTTTAGTATAAAAGTTTAGTTGTTCCGTAGCAATGCACGGGCACACAACCTAGTATGTCACATAAAACTAAATTTGTTACTTTTACTCAAATAAAACTATATATGTTCAGTTCAAATAAAACTAAATGGGCTACTTTTACTCAAATAAAACTCAATGGGCTTTGTAAGCACCTTGCCGGCCCACTACGGCCTTTGCACCCGTCAGACGGCGCCGCCTACGGGCTGCGGCGATCGGAGTCGGGATCGCACGGGAAACATCCCCAAATTCCCCGCCATTTCTCCCCCAACCCAATCACACCGATTGATCCAACGGCGGATCGCACTACACCACACCCCCAACTACCTCCAAACCCAAGCCCTAGCCATGGCCGCCGCCACCGCCGACGAACCCACCGTGCCAATGGAGGAGCAGCCCGGAAAGGAAAGCGAGGAGGCCGCCGAGGCAATGGAAGAGCAGCTCGGGAAGGAGAGCGAGGAGGCCGCCGAGGCAATGGAAGAGCAGCTCGGAAAGGAGAGCGAGGAGGCCGCCGAGGCAATGGAAGAGCAGCTCGGGAAGGAGAGCGAGGAGTCCGCCAAGGCAATGGAGCAAATCGAGGAGGAGCCAAAGGAGGGCGGCGACCCCGCCGAGGCAATGGAGAAGGATGGAGAGGAGGCGGAGGCCGAAGAGGGGGCGTCGCTGCGGCCGGCGCTGCCGGTGGGCAGGGTGAAGCGGATCATGCGGGTGGATTGGGACATCAAGAAGGTGACGAGCGAGGCGGCGCTGCTCATCGCCGCCGCCACCGAGCTCTTCCTGGGCAGCCTCGCGACAGGGGCCCACACCGCGGCGTCGCGGCGGGGCCGGCGCACGGTCCGTGCAGTGCACGTCCGGGCCGCGGCCCGCGCGCACCGGCCCACGGCGGACTTCCTCCTTGACTGCCTCGCTGCCGAAGAGGAGGCTCCCCGTGCCCGCAAGACCGCGGGATCAGCTGGTGGCGGCGGCGGAGGGGAAGCGAAGCCGCTGCCGCGTGGGACCCGCCGCATCGATGTCTTCTTCCAGAAGGTTACCTAGAGGTGTCTCTCTCTGCGTATGCGCTTCCAAATTGGTGATCTAAATGTTTACTTCAAAATGCTATGTGTGCTGTGATGAATCTATGAACTGGCAATTAAATTATGCATTTCTCTTTCTCTGATTCGTTGCAATTGCTTATTTTCTGCGATGACTGTGTGAGCCCATACCTTGACGATGCAAATTTGATGGCAATTTGGCTCTTCTGCCTTGTTAGACTGAATGGTTCAATGTGCGCATCACTTTTGGGGATGTTTAGAACTAGCACATGATGATAGCTGTAATAAGGTTAAGAAAAATGTTAATTTTCAACTAGCGCATTATGATAGCTGTAAGGTTGGCACTAGCAATGTTTTCGCATGGAAAATTGATGACATTTTTGTGCACCATAATTCTTTGAGAGTTTGATATGATGCTCCCCTTGTAGCCAATGTGTCTCTAGTTAGGAAACCAAGGCGTGTCGGTATCATTCAAGCTTGCAGATAGCATACTGCAATGGGACATACGACACCACCACAAAATTTGCATGAGGAATTCTGCGTCTGCATCTCGGAATACCACACTTTTTGAGTGTTGGCACAGAACACTAGTTGAGCTTATGTTTTAGGCTTTCGGAAACATTATGTTCCCTGCCACAATAATGCCAACTTGAGCGCCAAAAAGAGTACTAGCTGGACCGTTAACGGTAATTGTATGTACCAGGTCAATCCAGGTCAATTTAACGGCATATCGCTAGGTGTAAAAGGTTAATAATTCAAGCGCAAAATCAAATGCCAGACAAATTTAGATGTTGTAAGTCCTGAACTCAAGCCATACATTTGAAATTTGCAATCCAAAAGTGAAGCCTAGGCATATTGCTGCATGCTCTTCTTCCCTCTGCAACTCATAACCTTGCACAACCATGGGCTCCCTCTGGAGCTTAATTCATTCCTATCCAGATGTCTGCATAGCCATCATCTGCTTCTTCGGGCTTTCCATTTTCCGCTTCATCCAGCAGAGCCAGAAGAGCTGCATCCCTGTGAACTGGCCTGTTGTTGGGATGCTCCCCTTCATCGTGGTGAGTAGGCACTGCATTCATGACAAGGTCATGGGTCTGCTACGCGAGGCAGGGTGCACATTCTTCTTCTTTGGCCCGTGGTTTCTGGACATGAACTTCTTGATCACCTGTGATCCAGCCACAGTCAACCACTGCCTCAACACCCACTTCGAGAAGTACCCAAAAGGCAGAGAGTTTGCTGAGATGTTTGACATTCTAGGCGATGGTCTCCTTGTGGCAGATTCTGAATCCTGGGAGTATCAGCGCCGTGTAGCAACTTCTTTCTTTGGTGGCCGTGCCTTTCGATCCTTTGTGATGTCCACAATCACAAGAAGGGTCGGCAATGTCTTGCTACCTTACCTTGATCACATGGCCAAGCATGGTTCAGAGGTTGAGCTGGAGGACGTTTTCATGAGACTCTCGCTCGATATCTCATACTGTACAGTTTTTTCAACTGACCTTGGCTGCTTATCAGTGTCTTCTCCCATGCCTGTGTTTGGCTGCGCCACAAAGGAAGCGGAAGAGGCAATGCTGTTCAGACACATGGTACCGTCAAAGCTGTGGAAGCTCATGAGGTGGCTCAATGTTGGGACAGAGAAGAAGCTTGCTGATGCGAAGGTGGTGATCAATCAGTTCATCTACGAGGAGATTGCCAAACGGAAGGCACAGGGGAGCAATGGAAGCCAGGCAGATATACTCTCCATGTACATGAAAGTGACCTTGGATCCCAGCACGAGCGAGCAGTAGAAGACAGACTTCGTCCGTGACACGGCTGTGGGGTTCATCCTTGCTGGGAAGGACCTCATTGCCGTCACGCTCACGTGGTTCTTCTACATGATGTGCAAGCACCCAAAAGTCGAGGCAAGGATACTCGAGGAGCTCAAGGACCTGCAGAGCAGTAGCTGGCCTGGGGACTTCTCTGTCTTTGAGTGCGACGCACTCAGGTCTGCAGTTTACCTCCAGGCTGCCCTCCTTGAGACACTTAGGTTAGACTTTCTGCTGCTCCGTCGGTCTCCTAGGCTGGTACTATCTTGGAAACAAAGCTGGTCTGACCTTAACTATCTAACTGCGGAGTACTGTATGTTTTCAGGCTTTTCCCGGCAACACCATTTGAGGAGAAGGAGGCCCATGTTGATGACATCCTACCAAATGGCACCAAGGTGACAAAGGGCACAAGGATCATCTTTTCACTCTACGCCATGGGGAGAATAGAAGGGATATGGGGCAAGGACTACTTGGAGTTCAGGCCAGAGCGGTGGGTGTCCAAGAGTGGCCGCCTCCGGCATGAACCAAGCTACAAGTTCATGTCCTTCAACTCTGGACCCAGGAGCTGCATCGGCAAGGACGTCAGCCTCAGCAACATGAAGATCACAGCTGCATCCATCATACACAACTTCAAGGTCGAGCTGGTCAAAGGGCATGAAGTGATGCCGCAGAGCTCTGTCATACTCCACACTCAGAACGGGATGATGGTTAGTCTCAAGAGAAGGGTGGCAGGCTGATGTCTGGTTAACCCGCTTATGCACATGTAGACGTGAAACCATATATCTGGAGTTGTTAGAATTTGAGCTTGTAATATGAACATGTTGGAATATATGGGCTGGCCCATTTATTTATTCAATTAAAGAATTAAAAGCCCACCAATAAATGCTAGAGAGATAAGTGCTTAGTCCTCGTGGGGATTTGAGGAAGATCTTAACTGACTTAAATGGTGGACTCTGAGTACACCTATTGCGAAGTCAATAAAGGAGACCGGCGTGCCACACGCGCGCTCGCTCGTCTTGCCAAGCCGGGCGTGAACGGAGGCGAGGCGAGGCGACCGACGCGACGAGCCGAGATGAGCGAGCGAAGTGACGTGATGCAGTGCGGTGAATCTTTTGCCGGTTATCAGAGTCATCAATTGAGAGAATTCATTCTAGTAACGGCTACGGACTAATCTCTGGTATATTCCAACGGTTACTAGATTGATTGCCACAAATGGATGACAGTGCTGAACGCCAGGCGTCCAGGTTCATTTCCCCTCCCTCACTGCTCGCCTTATAAGGCACTCTCCTCTTCCTCCCTAGAAAAAAAGCATCCAGGTTCATTTCCCCTCCCTCACTGCTCGCCTTATAAGGCACTCTCCTCTTCCTCCCTAGAAAAAAAGCACGAGCACCAAGTACTCCTTTCAGGAGACTTCTCTCTTCTCCCACTGTCTTCTGCTGCGCTCTTGTATTCCCATCGCCAGCACTACGCGCACAAGTTCTGGCGAGAGCAGAGCCTCCGGAACCTCGCCTTCTGCCAGAGATCCTGCTCGGGATAGGCAGGCGATAAGGTTTTTGGGGAGCGTTGAACGCGACTGCTCACTCCCTCCCTGATCGACTACGTCCTGGTGGCCGAGGCGCAGCGCTGATCGACTACAACATCTTCTTCCTGGAGGCCGTTCGAGGGACTGTAATGCAACGACCTCTTCCTGCATCATTGTTGTACGACTACATCGACTGAGGCCATCCCATGACTAGTATGACTAGTCCAGATGGTACCGGCGCATCCGGTGCCTCCGGCACTGGCCCCGCCTCAGGGTACAACCTAATTCATCTGTGCTTATATTTGTTTTTGTTTATTAGATGTTTAAACTTGAACACTGCCACATATTCGTTCTTGTTTATTAGCTGTTTAAACTTGAACACTAGCACATATTATCTGGTCACTGAATCACTCAACATAGTCATGATAATATTTTACATGTTTAATTTTGGAATTAAAATATACCGAAATATGCCTAGAATTCTAACAATCCAAAAACCTTATCTTGTTGATAGGCTTTCGGTATCTAGTTTTGCTGCGTCCATTAAGCCGAACGTATTTGATGGTTCTAATTACAAGCGTTGGCGTGAGTGGCTTACGTTGTGGTTGACAGCCATGAACGTTATGCATGTCGTAGCCGGAAAGCCCGAGGGCAGCACGCCAGAGGATGCAAATGCCTTTGATCGTGCTGACAGCTTTTTCTGTGGCGCCATCATAACTGTTCTAGTTGAAAATCTTATTGACACTTACCTTTCGCTGCCAACTGGCAAAGAGATGTGGGAAACTCTTGAGGCTCAGTTTGGAGCGTCTGAAGCTGGCAGTGAGCTGTATCTCATGGAGTAGTTCCTTGACCACAAGATGGTTGAAGACCGTCCTATAGTTGAACAAGTTCATGAGATACAGGCGCTATCAAAATATCTCAAAGACTGCAGCAAAGAGATTCCTTGTGTGTTGCCCGACAAGTTTGTGGCCGGAGCTATTATCTCTAAGCTGCCACCTTCTTGGAGGGACTTTGCTACTTCTCTGAAACACAAGAGGAAAGAGTTCAGTATCTCTGATCTCATTGGGACTCTTGATGTTGAAGAGAAGGCGAGAGCAAAAGACACACGAGGAAAAGGAATTGTTGGAGCTTGAAGTGCCAACTTTGTTCAGAAGAACAATTCCAATTCCCAAAAGAAGAGAAAGAAGCCACCGCAGAACCAAGGAAAGACTAAACAAACAACTGCACCGGCTAAAAAGAAGAAGAAGGGAGTCTGCTTTGTGTGCGAGAGTCAGATCACTTTGCTTCACAGTGTCCGAATCGCAAAGGCAGGAAGTCTGCCGACATGGTTATAAGCGAGGCTGGAGGAACATCGGGGTACGGTAATTTATTACCTACAGTTCTTTCAGTATGTTACTCACCCGAGTGGTGGATTGACACCGGGGCTAATGTCCATGTGTGTGCTGATATCTCCTTGTTTTCTTCTTACCAGGTCGGAGGGACTGGCTCCTTGTCAATGGGAAATGGATCACATGCGCGTGTTCTTGGTGCTGGTACGGTCAATCTGAAGCTTACTTCGGGAAAGACCGTGCAATTGAAGAACGTGCAGCATGTCCCAACAATCAAGAAGAATCTAGTCAGCGGATCTCTACTGTGTAGGGATGGGTATAAGTTAGTCTTTGAGTCCAATAAATGCATTCTTTCTAAGTTTGGTACTTTTATTGGAAAAGGTTATGATAGCGGAGGCTTGTTCCGCTTGTCTTTGTCTGATGATTGTAATAAAGTTGTGAACAACGTTGTTAATGTTGATGAATCAAATGTTTGGCATTCGAGGCTTTGTCACATTAATTTTGGTTGTATGACGCGCTTAGCTAATTTGAGTTTAATTCCAAAATTTACCTCTGTCAAAAATTCTAAGTGTCATGTTTGTGTTGAATCAAAACAAACTCGCAAGCCTCACAAGGCGGCAAAGGCGAGGAACTTTGTACCTTTAGAATTAATTCATTCCGATCTGTGCGAAATGAATGGTGTGTTGACAAAAGGTGGTAAAAAATATTTCATGACTTTGATAGATGATTGCACTAGATTTTGTTACATCTATTTGTTGAAGTCAAAAGATGAAGCATTACATTACTTTAAAATCTATAAAGCTGAAGTAGAAAACCAACTAGAGAGAAAGATCAATCGAATTAGGTTGGATCGTGGTGGCGAATACTTCTCAAATGTTTTTACTTCATTCTGCGAGGAACATGGTATAATTCATGAGAGGACGCCTCCTTACTCACCTTAGTCAAATGGGGTTGTCGAAAGAAAGAACCGCACTCTAACTGATTTGGTTAACGCCATGTTAGATACAGCGGGACTATCCAAGGAATGGTGGGGTGAGGCTATATTGACTGCTTGTCATGTCCTAAATCGTGTTCCTACAAAGAATAAAGAAATAACGCCATTCGAGGAATGAGAGAAGAGGCTAACACTTTCTTACTTACGTGCTTGGGGTTGTTTGGCAAAAGTTAGTGTGCCGATAACTAAGAAACGTAAGCTTGGACCTAAAACTGTGGATTATGTCTTTCTGGGTTATGCTATTCACAGCGTTGGCTATAGATTTTTAGTAGTAAAATCAGAAGTACCTGACTTGTATGTTGGTACTATAATGGAGTCAAGAGATACTATATTTTTTGAGAACATCTTTCCTATGAGAGATGAAACAAGTTCATCTAGGCAAGAGTTTATCGAGAAGGATATCTCTACCGATGTGATAGAACACAGTGAACCTACACTTGTGGAAAATCCTGAGAAGGATAACAATAAAGCTCTCAGAAAGAGCAAGAGATGAAGGATTGAAAAGTCCTTTGGTGATGATTTCATTGTATACCTCGTGGATGACACCCCTAGAACCATTGAAGAGGCATATCCATCTCCTGATGCTGACTATTGGAAGGAAGCAATAAGGAGTGAAATGGATTCTATTATGTCTAATGGAACTTGGGAAGTAGTAGAACATCCTTATGGGTGTAAACCCGTAGGATGCAAGTGGGTGTTCAAGAAGAAGCTTAGGCCTGATGGTACTATTGAAAAGTACAAGGCAAGGCTTGTGGCTAAGGGCTATACTCAGAAAGAAGGAGAAGACTTCTTTGACACTTATTCACCTGTTGCTCGATTGACCACAATTCAAGTGTTACTTCCCCTAGCAACTTCTTATGGTCTTCTCATCCATCAAATGGATGTTAAGACAACTTTCCTAAATAGAGAGTTGGAGGAGGAGATCTATATGGATCAGCCAGAAGGGTTTGTAGCAAAAGGTCAAGAAGGAATGGTATGTAAGCTGTTAAAATCTTTGTATGGCCTCAAGCAAGCTCCTAAGCAGTGGCATGAGAAGTTTGATAAAACTCTTACGTCCGCTGGCTTTGTTGTGAATGAAGCCGACAAGTGTGTGTACTATCGCTTTGGTGGAGGTGAAGGAGTGATACTGCGCTTATATATCGATGACATATTGATTTTTGGGACAAGCCTTAATGTAATTAAGGAAGTCAAGGACTTTTTGTCTCAAAACTTTGAGATGAAAGATTTGGGAGAAGCTAATGTTATCCTTAATATAAAACTAGTAAGAGAAGGTGATGGTGGGGTTACACTCTTGCAATCCCATTATGTGGAAAAGGTTCTAAGTCGCTTTGGTTATAGTGACTGCAAACTTGTTTCAACACCTTATGATGCTAGTATAATTTTAAGGAAAAATAAAAGGATAATGAGAGATCAGCTGAGATTCTCTCAAATTATTGGTTCACTTATGTACTTGGCTAGTGCTACGAGGCCTGAGATCTCGTTTGATGTGACTAAACTAAGCCGGTTTTGTTTCAAATCCGGAGATGATCATTGGAATGCTCTGGAGAGAGTAATGCGCTATCTAAAAGGTACTGTGAACTACGGGATTCACTATACTGGTCACCCAATGGTACTTGAAGGGTATAGTGACTCAAATTGGATCTCTGATGCTGATGAGATAACAGCCACAAGTGGATATGTATTCACACTTGGAGGTAGCACTGTTTCCTGGAAGTCTTGCAAGCAGACCATCTTAACGAGGTCAACAATGAAAGCAGAACTCACAGCATTAGACACCGCCACCCTAGAGGCTGAGTGGCTTCATGAACTCCTAATGGACTTGCCGATAGTTGAAAAAACTGATACCGGCAATTCTAATGAACTGTGGCAACCAAACTGTGATTGTCAAGGTGA